CAACCTCTCGTCAATATGCGTTTTTCGCATTGCATTGCTGCAAAAAACGCATAAAAACGTATATTGGCAAGAGGCTGTCTGAATGTGTGTCTGTGTGTTCGCACTTTTTGTCACCCAATTCCAACTCGAGAATTAGAAAGGCTAGAAGGCTCAAACTTTGGGAGTATGTGTCCACATCATGCGCGACCCACCAGTTTTAGTATCATTGTCCGCCTGCGCCTGGGTGCCGCCTACCGATGTCTTAAAAAATATGCAAATTCTCGGCCTTTTCCGATATGTAAATGAACTCAGTTACAAATTTGAATTTTTGGCGAACGACTGCTCTAGCAACACTTTTACTTTTCAGTAACTGGAATTTTGCACTTTTTTGATGAGCCAGTATTTACCAGAAAAATGATCGCGATTCATGTAAACTCAGGCTGGAACGCACCAGGTGGGCCCGAAGCGATCATGGGTTTTTGCGCTATTTCGTGCTGTAGCAAGGTCGCAAGGTATCTCAGTAGCTAGAATTTGTAACTTACTGACGCTCAAAGTTCGGGACTTTAACTGTGCAGCTGCGTGGCGTGCCAGATGTAAATGTCGGCTTCGGTGACTTGACAAATGGGGTCTAAGAATGGGAAGGCCCTCGTACGCGGGGCCCAGACTTGCGTGGGGGTTGGTACCGCGGTTCTGGGACGGTACTTGGCCGGGAAACCGGGTAACCTACTAGCAAAATCTTGGCGCTGAAACTTGTTTGGTTGCCGAGTCGAAATACCAGAACAGACGAACACAAACATACACACAGACAGGGTCGTCGCAATATACGTTTTTGCAAGAAAAGTTACATCACCTTTAATGAGTTCCAATACTTTGAATAGCCACGTTGCAAACGGGTACACATGTTGTGAATTAAGCCACGTCACTCTTACGGCTTTCAACGTATAAAGGATTACGTCCCACGTAGAAGTCGATTAAGCCACGCCACAGTAGCGATTACCACGTATGAAAATCCACGTCTTACATGGAAATTTGCATGTTTTGGATTATGCCACTTCAAGCTTAGCGCTCTCCACACACACACACACACACACACACACACACACACACACACACACACACACACACACAC